CGTTGATAAATTAAAACTGGACCTGGATCCCCTAAAAGCAGAAAGTAAATCCCAGTGCTGCTAGATATGTCTTGCATCAATACATCATGAGAGCAGGATGTTTGTCTTTCTCATGTTGGACAGCTGCTGTGGTGCTTAATCACAACTATCTTGTGGGGTATTAAATTCTTCACATTCCATGGTGTTTACATTTTTAAAAAATCAAATAAGACTTAAGAGTTACACGTATGCTATTTTCTTACTGGTAAGCTATTTAGTATAGTCACAAGCTGGCATCCCTCTTAAAAACAGGTAGGATCTAGGTGAAAGACTTGGCTTCAATTCCTGGTTAAAATGGTGTAATTGCAGAACTAGAGTAGAAAAGGCAGTTCAGTTGGAATTACTCATTTTATTAAGGACTATACATTTCCTTCTTTTTTTTTAAATATAGGTCAAATTTCTTTACCTCCTTGCTCTAATGTTGCTTGTCTTCTGTTTAACACTAGGACTCTGAAACAAAAAGACTTCCAAGCCATAAAGTGCTTGAGAGCCATAAATAATTCTGAGGCAGGACTGAGCAGGGATTCCTCATTTATAATATGCCTTAAAGTATGTAAGAATCTAATGCTTGGAATATAAGTGTAGTTGGCTAGTGTGAAAGAACTAAGAATATATTTGTGCAATCTGACAAATAAATGAGTAACAATTCATTCTGACTGTTTGGGAAGAGGCATTCTCTGGTATATTTTCACATGTTAACTAAAATTATGTACAATGAAATTTGAAAAATGAGTGATCCCTTAGTGTACAAGGACAGTTCTTTTCAAAAAGATATCATGATGTCTGGGCTGAAAATGAATAATGTTTAAGCTTTATTTTTATGAAAACATTTGTTAACAGAAAACTATCTTTTAATTTAGAGATGATTTAACCTACAAATAGTCTTTTTTAAAAGCAGGCTATTTTTTTTATAGATGTAATATTTCGCCAATTAACTATTTAACACAGGGAATTAAGAATTGATAATGGGGCATACTTTCATGCACAAGAATAATTTGCAAATGTACAATACAATATACACTTGTGTCTTAAGAAACTTTCATTGTTATTCGTGATGATGTTTGTGAATGTTTGGAGAAAAGATTACAAAGAAATACTTTCACCAATTGCAGTTAATATTTAAAACTGTGGATTCTACTCTGTTTTCTGTATATTACAGTGGTCAAATGTAACCTGTTACCTGCTGCAAACTGTAAAGTACTTTGGATTACAGTAACTCTCTTCAGATTTAGACTGAGTCATATATGTATTTTTGTGTATCTGATGCTGTATTTAATATTAATGCAAGCTATATAATAAAAGTACTTAAGATTTTTATAAGATAGTGTCAGGTACATTGTCACTTGTATAAACAGAAGAGTGCAAAGGACATGTCTCAGGTTGAAAATCTTATATTCTAGGCCTGTGCTAGCTTTGTGGAAATTTATATGAAGTCAGCTACGTTTTAAATCTTGGTTTGTCAAAATATTCTTTGTTCCTATAGTTTTCTACTTAAATGCTGAATGTTCTTGAATATATTAGGTTCAAATTCTAAAACAAGCAAATCAGTTTAAACAAAAAGTCAATGTGCTCTATAAAGAATAATAGAGACTGTAAAATAACAAAAAGTTCCAAAAGCCTTTTGTACAATTGATTTGGAAAATACATGTTCATTCATCTCAATCTTTGTTCTTGAAACCCTAATATAGTAACTTTATACAGAATGATTTTCAGCAGGCTTTCAAGATGTTACTTTAAGTATAACCCTCAGGACAGAAAACAACTGCACTTGCATAGATTCAAATAATGCTGAATATGAGATTTATAGTTTTTGCTAATGGTTAAGATAATAGTTTTGTGTCCTTCACTTAGATCATCTTCAGTGAAAAAATATACCTTCTTTTTATAAAATGGAAATCAGCTGCTTTGCTAGAATAATATCACATCATTTTAAAAACCAGATTGTTTTTCAATTTTGTATTTTCCTTCTTTAAACACTAGCAACATGTTTGATTTATATTATGTTATATTATGTATCTTAATGGTTGACCAAGCATATTCTGAGAACTGTGGAATTATTGACTTGAAGTGCTGAACAATTTAGTTTTGCATTATAGGTCTGTAATAGGTCTGTGATTCAAGAAATAAATACGCTAAGAATTTTAGAAGGGGAGACAATGCTTGTTCCCAACTTTCAGATGACTGGGATAATTTCCCCATTTTATATCATCTAGTCCTGAACATTTTAATACTATTATACAAAACAAATGCAGTTGACAGAATATTACATTAACGAAGAATGAACACATGTCATTTGTGTGTTTATATTATGAAATGTAATATATTCATTTGAAATGCACCAAATGGGGAGCAAAGCAACTATTCCTTCAGTAATAACAAGATTACTAAGTCATATTCAGTCATTTGAGTAATTATTCAAAATACCTTTCTATGAGAACTTTTGAGATACATGAAAAGCATCTGGAAGCTCCAGTTGGTGCAAAATGCAGCAGCACGCATGGTTTCGTGCAGACCTCTGCATGCACATATGTCACTTCTCCCAGGGGAGCTGCATTGGTTGACCATTTGCTTCTGTGTGCAATTCAAGGTGCTGGTTTTCACCTTTAAAGCCCTTCGTGGCTTGGGACCAGGTTATGTGAGAGACCATCTGTTGCCGGTCACATCCACCTGACCCACTAGAGTGAGAAGGCAAGGAAGGTTGCAGGTCCCGTCCCCTAAGGAGGTACATCTGGTGGGACTCGGAAGGGCCTTCTCCATGGTGACTCCCTCCCTCTGGAACATCATCCCTCAAAAAAAAAGACTGGCCCCCGCTCCTGACATTCTTTCAGAAACCCTGAAGACATTCTGCCAGTGAGCCTGGGGAATCCAGAGAGGAATGGAGTCCATTAAATGGCTGGTATGAGTGTGTGTTGTCGCAGGAATGGGGGGTTGTTATTTTATTATTTTTATTTCTTTGATGTGTTTTTATTTCCTGTAAGCCGCCTTTAGTCACCATGAGCAAGTAGGTGGCAATATAAATTTCCCAAAATAAATATGATCTCATGAGAAAACCATGCTGTTTTCAGACTAGCATGATAAAGATTGCCCTAATGGCCTATGCTGATAGACAAATCTCTTAATGTGAAAAATAGTTGCACAGTTTAGCGTAAGCTTAAAAGCCGGAGATCTTAACGGTTCTACATTCTGTGCAACTTCTTATAACTAACAGAATAAGATAAGTAATAGACTAGAGCTTTCCAGGGGGATAGGTGTGTTAGTCTATGCCAACAAAATGACAAATATTTGTGACTCCTTAAGAGAACAGTATAGTAATTTATTTTTATAGCTTTTATTTAAAAAAAAGCTGCTATAGCTTTTACAAAATATTATAAAAATTACTTCAAAGCTTTTGTGCATCTGATGGATGTATATATAATGTAGTCCATAGAAATTTGAGCCATAACGAATGTATTAATCTAATATGCCAAGAGACTCATTATTTATAGTAGTTCAAGTTATCAACAGCTACATTCCTTTTTAGGGCCATTGTAAATCCTCATTTAGTGTATTTAAAGCTGTAAATCATATTTCCTGTCCTAGGTGAGGAACTGAAAAGTGAATAAAAAATACAGATCCTAAAAGTTGAAGATACACTTATTGCTAGAAGCAAATAATTTGTGAAACACTAACATTGTTCCTCTGCAAATTTGACTGTTATGTGGTCGTATATGATTTTAAACCTGTCTTCTTCCATCTGGATATATATCCATTATGGATATATTTTACTGTCAATCATGAGAACAAGAGTACAATACACATGATAGGCATCTGGTTTGGAGAAACTGATGAGTTCAGTGAGACATTTTTGTATTCAAGAAGTTAGCTATAGAATCATGGTAGGCTGACATTTAAAAAAGATGCCCCTGTGTTCTTTATTACTCTCGGTATTTATAAGGGGGATATATCAAATTGTTAAAAAGGGTACTAATATTTCATTTACATAAAAGACTCCTGGAAAAAGTGAAGAAAATAATCCAGCAACGGAAAATCTAGTTCAAGTCTAGATAATCTTATGACACTGGTTTGAGAGCAATTATTAAACTTGGAGGAATTAATTCCTAAGCAACATTCTTAAAATAACCCTGCAAAAGCTACCGTTAAGATGTAAGCAATGCATAGCAATAGAGTAATAGGAAACGAGTGGGGAGGCTAAGTTTAAATTTATCCTCAACAGAATTCATTGCATGTCTTTGTTTCAGTCATTTTCTATTAATAAAACCAATTGTTAATAGGGATTGTTGTGAGGATGAAATAAATGGAGATTCCCATGCAAGACATCTTGAATTTTTGGATAAAAGGTAGAATAGAAACTTAATAAATCATACAATCACAATTTTCAGACTTATCACTTGGTGCTTAATGTGGCGGTTTTTCAGAATTTCTATTCTGACAAGATGTAAAAAAACCAAACAAACCAATATACATGTGAACATATGTCAGGACATCATCTGGATTAATTCTCCATGTAGGAATAGCTGTTTTTTTGTAAAGAATTTGCTTTCTGATTATTGGTCCTCACATAGATACAAAACCAATTTACCCATTTTTCCTTTGTTCATCTGACTTCATTTACATTTTAACAACACACCTCCACTAGTCTACTCAGAAGAAAGGCCCATGGAGTTCAGTTTTGAGTTACAAATGTTTGTATAGATTGTACCAAAATTATACTTGGTGATGCTCAAAAATTTATATGACTTGGCTTGCTATTAAAAGTATTTTTTTCCTCTAAATTACATAGATGTGTGAATAGAAAAAAATACATACAATGGGAATAGTTGAATTTTCTCTACCCTAGCTAGATTTTCTACATTGTATTTCCTACTACATGCTGAATATTTCCTAGGTATCAAATCACACATTAGGGCTCAGTTTCTGAATAACTTCTTATGGGCATGACTATTCAGAAGCAAAACAATGTATTTCACATACTGTAGACATAATCCTAAATTTAATGATGATGTGAAAAACTCAGCAACACAATGCATCCTACAAATACATGCCTGAAAAGTACCCTAATGGGATTAAACCTCATTCAACCAAGTGTCTGCAAAAAAACAAAAACTCAGGCTTATTGCACTCTTTACAAACACACATCTGCATTTTCATCCCTCGCTGAAGATGTAAACGCTGGCAAATTGAACAGAAATTAGGCGAAATGTGTCACAATTCCTTTTGAAGTAATGCGATATCATTCCATCTTTGTCACTTATTCGGTTCAAAGCTCTCTGCTTCGCTTTGGAAGCGGCGGCAGTGCAGAGCAACGCACTCGGCTTCAGGTCCCGTCGGCTTCTATTGCTGCTAACTTTGTGGACGTGTCCAGCTAGGGTGGTTTTCTTGTCACTTCTTTTCGGCCCTGGCATTCACACCAAAATCGCGTTGCCAATGCCGCCTTCTGTGATGTTTTTCAGCTTCTTGGGACAAAACTGCAGTCTCGAGTTTGCTGGAGTCTCTGTCTGTCTGTCTGTCTGTGTGGGTAGGTTGGTGTCAGAGCGAGCGAGAGCGAAAGAGCTGGGGTGAGAGACGGGGGAGGGAGAGGGATTGTTAGATAGACAAAAGATATCCACAGAGTTTAACTTGATTATTTTAATTGTTCGTTTATGTTAATTTAGAGAGAGAGGGAGAGAGAGAGAGGAGGGGGAGTTATTAGATACCCAAAGTTACCCAAAGTTACCCAAAGTTTGTGTTAATTTAGAGGGGGGAAGGGTTGTTAGATGGACAGACAAAGATACCCAAAGTTAAATTGGATTATTTTAATTGTTCGTTTATGTTAATTTAGAGAGAGAGAGGGAGGGAGAGAGAGAGAGAGAGGAGGGGGAGTTATTAGATACCCAAAGTTAAATTGGATTATTTTAATTGTTCGTTTATGTTAATTTAGAGAGAGAGGGAGAGAGAGAGAGGAGGGGGAGTTATTAGATACCCAAAGTTACCCAAAGTTACCCAAAGTTTGTGTTAATTTAGAGGGGGGAAGGGTTGTTAGATGGACAGACAAAGATACCCAAAGTTAAATTGGATTATTTTAATTGTTCGTTTATGTTAATTTAGAGAGAGAGGAGGGAGGAGAGAGAGAGAGAGGGGAGGGGGAGTTATTAGATACCCAAAGTTAAATTGGATTATTTTAATTGTTCGTTTGTGTTAATTTAGAGAGAGAGGGAGAGAGAGAGAGGAGGGGGAGTTATTAGATACCCAAAGTTACCCAAGTTACCCAAAGTTTGTGTTAATTTAGAGGGGGGAAGGGTTGTTAGATGGACAGACAAAGATACCCAAAGTTAAATTGGATTATTTTAATTGTTCGTTTATGTTAATTTAGAGAGAGAGAGGGAGGGAGAGAGAGAGAGAGAGGAGGGGGAGTTATTAGATACCCAAAGTTAAATTGGATTATTTTAATTGTTCGTTTGTGTTAATTTAGAGGGGGGAGGGGTTGTTAGATGGACAGACAAAGATACCCAAAGTTAAATTGATTATTTTAATTGTTCGTTTATGTTAATTTAGAGAGAGAGAGAGGGAGAGAGAGAGAGAGGAGGGGGAGTTATTAGATACCCAAAATTAAATTAGATTATTTTAATTGTTCGTTTGTATTAATTTAGAGAGAGAGAGAGAGAGAGAGAGAGAGAGAGATGGAGGGTGGGAGGGTGGGAGAGAGGAGGGGAAGTTATTAGATACCCAAAATTAAATTGGATTATTTTAATTTAATTAATTAATTTAATTTAATTTAATTTTATATGCCGCCCCTCTCCGAAGACTCAGGGCGGCTCAGAATACATTTAAAAAATCATTATAAAATGATTAATTAATTGTTTGTTTGTGTTAATTTAGAGAGAGAGAGAAAGGAGGGGAAGTTATTAGATACCCAAAGTTAAATTAGATTATTTTAATTGTTCGTTTGTGTTAATTTAGAGAGAGAGAGAGAGAGAGAGAGAGAGAGAGAGAAGAGAGAGAAGAGAGAGAGAGAGAGAGAAAGGGAGGGAGGAGAGGGAGAGGCAGAGAGAGAATCTATTTGCGTAGCTCTACCTACCGGAAGTTGTTTCAGGTCTCTTTTCTTTCTTCCGGTGTAGAGCAGAAGGCCGCGGGCGTCTCTTAGCAACCAAGCAGACGCTGCGGCAGCGCCGGGAGAGCCATGTCGAAGTTCGGCAAAAAGAAGGAGGGGGTGAAATCCAACAATGTTCTCCAGTCAAATCTGCCCGCGAAAGAGTAAGACCTGCCTTTTTCGCCGGAGGAGCTTTCTCCCCTTCTTCAGTCCTCACCGCCCCGCTTTTCGCGGGCGAGACGAGGCAGTGTGTCACCCTAGAGAGGGAATCGTCTACTTCCCCCCACTCCACCCCCCTTTTCCTTGGGGAGACCCCCAGTTGCTCTTCCCTTTGAAATAAAGCGGGTTGTCAGTTACCCTCGATCGTGCGGAATAATAAGAACGACAAGGATGTCTGACTATCACCTTGGCTTAAGTTTAGAATTCAGGGGTCTCCAACCTTGGCCACTTTAAAACTTGTGGACTTCAACTCCCAGAATTCCTCAGCCAGCTTTGCTGGCTGAGGAATTCTGGGAGTTGAAGTCCACAAGTTTTAAAGTGGCCAAGGTTGGAGACCCCTGGTTTAGATTGTTTTAAGTTATCAGAGTGCCCGGACTCTACATCAATTGGGATAGTATAAACAAACCATGTTATGTTGTCTTGGGCTTCTTAGAGAAGAGATAGAGTAAATGACACACTGCAGCTTCTTTAAAGATCCTTACTTTGGGGTGGTTGTGTGCAGCATGGACATTTGTGGTAGATTCTGCTGCTGCTGCTGCTCCCCCTTTTTATTATTTACTTATGAAGCCAGAAACGGATTAATTATTATTAAATGTTTATTTCACCCTTTTTTTTTTTGTATATAACTCAAAGCTGCAAGCCATACCTAATTCATCTGCTTCCTACTTTTCCCACAACAACAACAACCACCCTGTAAGGTAGGTAGGGCCGAGAGAACACCCACCTTAGCCACTGTACCAAACTGGCTCCTGGTGATGGCAGAAGCCTTCTATCCACTCCTCAGATCATTTCTGCCCATTTTCCGCAGCATCTATCATGGAGATAGAAATGGGAAAATAGAGGCAGTGTTTGTAGGGACACTCTAAAATGAAGGATCCTTGGTGCTCTCTGAGCTGGCTTGTTTTCTTGCAGACGTTTCATTACCCGAATTAGGTAACATCATCAGTACTAGTGATGATGTTACCTAGTCTGGGTAATGAAGCATCTGCAACAAAACAAGCAAGCTTAGAGAGCACCAAGGACTCTCATTTCAGCCTTGAGCTACAATCATTCTCTTTATTGGTAAATTAAAATATTGATCTGAGAAAAGGTAAAGATTAGTTCAGTATCTGGCCTCATCTGACTAAGGTGGGTTGTTTTCACTCCAAATAAAACTGGTTCTTGATCTAACATCTTCAGAGTTCATTTGTTGTGAATCAGATAATTAACTCAAGATATAAAACAGGCTGTCCCCTGAGATGAGGGTCCTACGGTACCCATCTTGGACGTCCAGAAAGCTATGAAACCCTGCCTTTCTTGCCAGCACTGGACTGGGATGATGGATGATCCCAATATAGGTGTGGATTCTGTTGAGAGTTTGCTATATGATGCTCAGCTAGTAAACAATGATTATAATTCTGTTTTTTGTTTTGCTTGGAAGGGTGTTACTATATTTTTCTGTGTATGGATGAATGTTAGCTACCCAGATTTTGTACATAAAGAGAGGTGCCCATATAAGTTGTCTAAATAAATAAATAAGAGCTAACGTATAAGAAAGTATTGTTGTAGAAACATGAATTAGCATGAAATAAAAGAGAAGTAAATAAACTAGTTGCCCGTGAAATGAAGAGAAAGGTGATTTTAATGGTATTAATGGATCAGATTGAAAGAAGTGGCTTGGGAGGTGATGCACAACTTGTTTAAAATGGGTATGAAGATTGCATTTGCATCTGGCAGTTGGAACAATGCTGTCATTCTTTTCTAATCTAAGTGAAAGATAGCAAAATTGAATATAAAACTACAGGCAGTTAGCTTGCTAAATGAACTTAGGAAGCTGTTCAGCAGAATTCTGATCAAAAAAATACAGGAAATGATAAAGATCATACTTCTTCCCTGCTGACATTCTGCTCTGTGGTGCCTTCTATAGCCACTATCAAATCATCCTTTTCCTTTCAATCTTTTATCTACTTTGTTCTTCTCTGGATACTGTCATGACCTTTAAAGTGTCCAAAATCTTTTAAAAGGATAAACATACTTGAAAAATTAGGGAAAGGAGTGGGCTCATCTTTTCACTTAAAACACAAAAAAATATGTATCTTCATGACAGCTTGTACAAAATACAAGAAAAAACAGATTTCTGAGCAGCCCCATGTCATGCTGCCTCAGCTGCCATAGCATCAAAGCCTGCTCTAAGAGAGAGGAAGAGGCCTCACCCAGAAATAAAAAGAAACATATTTAGCCCTCCTTAACACCTCAGATTTTATTCAATAATAGAATAGAATAGAATTCTTTATTAGCCAAGTGTGATTGGACACAGAAGGAATTTGTCTTGGTGCATATGCTCTCAGTGTACATAAAAAAAAAGATACATTTGTCAAGAATCATAAGGTACAACACTTAATGATAGCCATAGGGTACAAATAAGCAATCAAATCATATTAGGAAACAGTATTAATTGCACTGTTACCACAGTCATCTTTGTCCATTCATAATAAAAACATTATAGGAGATTCAGCTATTGGATAGGATGATAGTATTCCTTTCCCACTACCTAGACAAATTTGACATCAAAATAATGGATTATTTTGCAAGATCAGAATGACTTACAGTTTTTTAACCATTAACCAACTTTTCACAGCAAGTATATAATGCGAGTATGATAGACTTTCTGCATTCATTCACAGGTTAACTTTGGGGGGGGGGGGGAAATAAGTGTTTAGAAAATCAGAAAAAATAACAATTTTTACAGGTAGATTCCAAGTATTACTATCTGTATTTGTGTCAGAAGCTAAACTAACCAAAGGGGGCTTCTGGATTGAAAGGATTTGCCAATGACAACACTGTTGCCCAGGGGATGCCTGATTACCAAAAGTAATGCAACCTTCAGAGGGGCTCCTTTCATATTCCCCACTATTACTGTAAACTTTTTTTTTGTCTTTGGTAGACAATCAGCTATATACATGTATTCTGAATTTCTGATTTTTTTAATGACAGCAATCACTTGCCAGTTGTAGGTTTTTTTAAAACTGAATTTGGAGTTCATTTAGACAGAATATGTATCAATCATGTTTGTGATCTTTCTTTCATTAAAAATGCCAGAAAGCAGAAAAAGCAGAATATTAGACATGTGTTGCTTTGTATCTTAGGTTCCAGAATGGCTGGAGATTAGCTAGTTTTAAAATAAAAACTGAACATTTTTTTTAAAAAAAAACCTCTACTGGGGCAACTGCAGGAAAAGCTGAATAAACTGATTGAACTCCACCAGTCAGAATTCTTTGGCTGATGGGGTCTTCAGCATATCTCCCCTGCCCAATTAGGTGGGACTGGGCGATGTGATAGAGTTAAGATGGTTCCATAGATAACCTACCCCCCTGCCATATATGGTTTTTAAAAGTCATAACCAAAACTTTGAATTGGACATGGAAGCAAACTGGCACCCAATGCAGCTTGCGCAGCAGCGGTATTACAGTTCCCATTCTTTGGGGACCCAAAATTGCCTCCATGGCCGCTTTCTGTACCAGCGGAAGCATCCCAATATTTTTCAAGGATAGTTCCATGTAGAGCACATTGCAATAGTCCAAACAGGAGATGACCAGGGCATGAGAGACTGAACAGAGAGCTTCTCTATTCCTAACTGGTGCAGAATATGATATTGAGCAAAGGTCCTCCTAGCAACAGCTGCTACCTGCTTTTTGAGCAGGAGCCATGATCCAGGAGGTCCTCCAGATTATTTGTTTGCGGTAGTGCAACCCCATCTAAGATCAAAGATGATAAACTTCCAGATCCAGAGGGGTCCATCCACAGCCACCCCATCATATCAGTTGAAGCCTATTCTTGCCCATCCAGGCTCCCACAGCCTCCAGGGGCCACGAAAAAATATCCACAACATCATTTACTCACCTGGGATGAAGATATATAAATGGGTATCATCAGCATACTGGCGATAACTCATGCCATGGTGACTGTGATCTCACCCGGCCATTTCATGTAGATGTTTAAAAAGAGCAGAGAAAACACCATGCCCTGCAGCATCCTATAAAATAGGAACCATGAGCTGGACTTCTTGCTCCCTATTGACACTGATTGAGTCCAGCCTCAGAGGAAGGAGGTAAACCAGCACAGAACTGTGCCACCCACCCCCAACTCCCTAAGTCAGCCCCAAAAGATACCACCGTCAATGGTATCAAAAGCTGCCAAGAAATCAAGAAGAACAAGGATGGGTGCAGTGGCTAGATCCTTTTCTTATGTTTAATTATGACTATAGCCTATTGTAGTTGGTATATGAATTAAACTTATGTTTGGCATTTTGCATTTAAAATCAGATATATATATCTATATATCTACAGACAGACACACGCACACTACTTTTTAACATATAGAGTGAGTAAAAGCATTGCATAAGGCTTCAGTTTAGAAAATATCACAAGTGATCATTTTCTCATTCAGTGTCATTCATATACCCATCTTGCATGGGAAGTCCATTTAAAACATAAATTGTGATTTTCCTAACTTAAAAAAGCATGGCTTTTAGAACAAAATTAGATTTATTTGTCATACGGTTTGTTTTGGCATGACCTTTTTAAAAATCAAAATTGATGTTCAGATTGGGATTGCAATCTGGATGGAGATGGGCTATTAAATCTTTTACACTTACTATTGCACTTGGAGGAAAGCTCCCATTGGCACTAAACAGCTGTTTGCCTCCCTTTAATATTAAGTGCTGAGGGCCTTGATTCTCACTGGGCCCATTTCAAATGCAAAATTCAAAAACTTTGACCCTTTTATATCATAGACAAGTTCAAATTACGGTATTCATTTTTAAAATTCATGCTAAGATAATTAAAAAAATACAAAATAGATATCTACCCTGTTTCCCCAAAAATAAGTTATCCCCTGATAAT